TTAGATTCTGAGAATTAGTAGGATGTAATTTGTATTTCACTATTTTTATTTATCGATTACTTTTTTTTTTATCAAACCGATTTTTTTTATAGATAGATAGATATTTACATTACATACTCGATAGAGGAGTTTAACGATACAAGACCAGACTTAGCAAAAACGTCGACTAGAACATTTTCTAAATGCGGAATAAAAGCAAAAGAGATAGATTCAAAACCTATGCTAAGACAACGAATGTCGTGGAGCACAAGTTTCAGCTCATTGATCATATCATTTGCATTGAGCAACATGACAAGAGTGCGAGAATCCGAGAGACACCGGAGTGTTCGGATAACTGCATTGGTAACTGCAATTAGGGCAGTTTTAACGGCAATAGCCTCAGCTACGAGGGCTGAGTGTACTTATCTACCGGAAGCAGAGCCTTGGAGGAGGGTCCTCATTGATGACTCTAGGCAATACCATCCCATTCCACCATCAAGAGAGGAAGGGTTCCATGCTGCAACGACAAAACAGAGAGGAGTGTCCCTTGTCTCAGGCTGTGAGGGAGGAGAACTTATGGTGGTGTTAAGCATATGTCGAAGAGGACGAGACCCGCATACTGCGGTAAATGAACGAAACCGAGACCAGTAAATGAACAAGACCGAAACCCGCATACTGTGGTAAATGAACGAGACCAAGACCTGCATAACGAAAAAACTCGGATCCAACAAGACCAGTTGTATCTTTCTGAAGTATAATACAGTTTCATCATAAAAGAAAACCACCATAACAATATAGTGCATAGAACAAGATAAAATCTTTTGAGTAACAGCCTCATTCTGAGGTAAAGGATCCTCATATTGAGGTAAAGGGACCTCGTACAGAGGTAAAAGAGCATCATTCTAAGGTAAAAGAAGGCTAATCAAAAACCTAAACACCTTAGCGCAAGGTAAACGAAGGTTCAAAGATAGCCAACAAGTCTCATATTGAGATAATAAAACTGATTGAATCCTTAAACTGAGAAATATTAATCCTAATTAAGGTAGAATCTAAGCAATTTCGAGACATTCCATAGACCATACCTGTCCCAAGCATATCAAGGAGCAAGGGAGAGAGCCGAGACTTCAACTGGAGAAAATCGCAGATCTGGAAACTGCAAACAACAGTAGGGACAACCCAAGTTATGACTGGCCTCACTCCAAAGAATACGAACAACAAACGAGCTAAGCCAGGAGTTGTTGTACCAAGACATAGAGGAGACACTGCGGTTACACGGATGAAGAATCGACAGCGAGAAAATGACAAATCCGGTGTGTCGAAATAGTCGGGAGGGTTGGGAGGACGGGAGGAGAAACCACAGTCGGGAGATCTGGAAGAGAACCAAGTCGCGGCGGCGGCTTCTGGGGAGGAGGAAGAAGCAACGGAGCAAGCACCATCAGAGCCATGGAAGAAAGGAAGAGGAGGGAGAAAGAGGAAGGTTCTCGCCAGTGGCGAGAGGCCGCACCGACGGCGGCGGCGGCTCAAGAAGAAGAAATCCTAATCTCTTTGTTTGTCGCCCTTTTTGAATATGGAGGATAAAAAAAGATAAGATAAAAAGACTATTACACTCTTTTTATTTATTGATTGCTATTTTATGTTAATTAATGATTAAAATCTAAGCGTAATAATATTTATCAAAATTATTAAATATTTAAGAAAATCATTAATTGAATAATATAATAATAAATATTTTTTTTATTAGTGTGATATTTGGTGTTGTAGTTGTGAGTGGGAGGAAAAAAGAAAAACTAATAAGTGGAATTAATAGAGTGAAAGTAAGACCACCCTCAAAAATGGTGCGTCTATCTTGTAACCATCGTTAAATCCATACCCATCGTTATACAAAGCAATCAGATACAAGTAGATACCATGCCTTGGTCTAATAGCCACTTTGGCGTTGTTGACAGGGATATGGTGGTATTCGATAAGCCATATCATTTGTTTGGTGGTTAGATCCCGAGTAAGTGAAGTCAGCATCACGTTATCTAGAACAAAGAAAGAGCAAAACTGACAATAAACAATCGATATATGCTAAGAATAATATCCAGATCGAATATGGTAAATAGAACAAAATCGACATTAAACAATCGATATATGGTAAGAAACAATACCCAGATCACAGATAGAATATGGTAAATAGATCAAAACCGACAACATCAACATAGATTTATACTAAAAACAATAACCATATCTCAGATCTAATATGGTAAGAAACTGTACCCAAAATGAAGTCGTTTGGGGCCGTCAGGAAAAGTTGACCTTCGTTCTAACAATAACCATATCTCAGATCTAACTTCGTTCACGTCTTCGAGCTAACTTCGTTCACGTCTTCGTCTGGATTCGACACTTCCACTTCCGGATTCTTAATAATTTAGATCTACAAAATTATCAAGGGGTTCTCACTTGGGGTTTTTAATAATTTAGATCTACAAAATAATAGTTAAATATTAGAGAGATTCTTAAAACAGGAGAGAGAATATATAAAGTTTCTCATTTAAGAACCCTTCTCTTCTCTTTTGAAAACCCCTCCTCATATTTTATTTATATTTTGTTTTATATAATTTTTTTTTTGAACCCTTCGAAAAACATTAGATGGAGATGTTCTAAGAGTATCTTCAACGGAGATATCTCATTGAGATACCTATACTAAAATAATAATATAAAAATTGAAAAAAGAACATAGCGAATGAATACTTATTGCGAGAGATTCTCAAATAAGGTATTCATGAAAGATTCATATCACACTTTCTCCGTTTAATTGGTTCAATTTTTTTCTAAGATTAATTTTAATGACATAATTAAATTCTATTAAAAATGGCAACATTAAATTAGTAAAAAAAATTCCAAGAATATTTCAAGTATATACTTTCTCCAATGGGAGATACTATAAGAGTTTCTACAATATATTAGTTTAATAATTTTGGTTATTTTATAAAATTTTAAATCACTAGAAAATTCTTAAATCAATTGATAAATTGACAAGTACTTCATGAATTTCTAAAAAAAGTGGCAAGAATTTCTTCTTTTAGAACC